GAGATCTAAATATTAAAGTTAGTGCTTTAGAATTAGGGGACCTAAATAAAAAAGTTAGTGCTTTAGAATTAGGCCCTAATTGTAAAGCACTAACTTTAATATTTAGGTCCCCTAATTATAAAGTTAGTGCTTTAGAATTAGGGGACCTAAATAAAAAAGTTAGTGCTTTAGAATTAGGCCCTAATTGTAAAGCACTAACTTTAATATTTAGGTCCCCTAATTATAAAGTTAGTGCTTTAGAATTAGGGGACCTAAATATAAAAGTTAGTGCTTTAGAATTAATTCTAACTTTTATATTTAGGTCCCCTAATTATAAAGTTAGTGCTTTAGAAATAGGGGACCTAAATATTAAAGTTAGTGCTTTAGAATTAATTCTAACTTTTATATTTAGGTCCCCTAATTATAAAGTTAGTGCTTTAGAATTAGGGGACCTAAATATTAAAGTTAGTGCTTTAGAATTAGGCCCTAATTCTAAAGCACTAACTTTAATATTTACTGTAGGTCCCCTAATTATAAAGTTAGTGCTTTAGAATTAGGGGACCTAAATATTAAAGTTAGTGCTTTAGAATTAGGCCCTAATTCTAAAGCACTAACTTTAATATTTACTGTAGGTCCCCTAATTATAAAGTTAGTGCTTTAGAATTAGGGGACCTAAATGTTAAAGTTAGTGCTTTAGAATTAGGGGACCTAAATATTAAAGTTAGTGCTTTAGGGTTAGTGCAACTAATTTTTAGATTAGTGCTGCCCACCACTGGAAATCTGTATTAATTTTAGTTTTAATCACTGGTTCTGTGACGAGGACACCACAGCTTCTGTCTGTCCTTAATGGAAATGTTATAGACATTTAGAGCCGTCAGGAGGTCGGTCATGAGCTGCTTCATACAAATTTCAGCGTCGTCACAGCAGAAACAACAATAAGCTTTAAAATAATAAAAACAATTGTTTGTTGTTTTATATTCTCTGAGTTCATTTAGACAAAAACACGAGTGAAGTCTTGATGATTTATTAGTTTTCTTGTCATTTCCTGTTATTTTTTTCTTTGTTCTGCCCCCTTTTTTAGATCATTTCTTGTTTTTCTCGATTGCTGCTCTTCCTGCTCGCACACCTGGTCCTAATTTGTTAATTAAAACACCTAGAAAGTCTTTAGTTTCCTTCAGTTTTAAATAGTGTCTCAGTTTGTAGTTTCAGCAAAGACTYTTTCTCAGATCTTTTATGGTTTTAACAGGAAGAAGAAAGAAAAAAAAAAGAAAGAAAGCAAAGAAGTAAGGGGGCACCCAGATTTGAACTGGGGACCTCTTGATCTGCAGTCAAATGCTCTACCACTGAGCTATACCCCCTGCTGACAAAGTGTTTTGATTTTCAATCAATATTTTGTCACTTTGTGGTTGTGTTTATTTCACTATTTGGTATCTCAGGGGTTTGTTGAGAAATTTACACAAATGAAACAGATTATCTCCAGTACTAACTCTGTATCGTGTCTTTATTCCAAAAAATAGATACATAACATTTGTGCTTCAACAAACATCGTGTAAATGCTTGTAAACTCGTTACATTCACCTTCGTTCACGTCTTCCTCTGTGCCACTTCATCCCTTCATGTCGGCACTTTCAATCTTTGAACAGATGATACAACTCTGCACAGATAAATACAAATAACCACCCCTCCCCCCACAAAATGCAAAGCTGTCATAATTAAAACCAGTCGTGAGTACACAGAAACTACGACGTTTGATCGGATACACTGTAATACTTCCTCACGATGAAAACGACACGCTCAGCACAAACTGCTGAGTCATGCTCGCGAAAAGAGTGAGATGAAAGTTCCTCTGTCGCCCCGCCAAGAGTCAAACCTTCATCCTTCACAGTGTCAACTTAGTTTTTATTCAACACCACAATAACACTGAATTTGTTTTTTATAACAAGTCCAAAAAATATGTGTATATTTAAATAAAGCTGAAATAAATGATTTGAAATTTTCATAAATCTATGTTTTATTGATAAAAGGACATAACGAACATATTGAATGTTGAGACTTTTAGTTTTTGTTGCTCCTGTTTCAATGTGTTGTCCCTTAAAATTCAGAATTACCACAGTATTTAAAACAAACATTTTACACAGCTTTTTTCAGACTTGGTGTTGTATTTTTATGTAACTTTCAGAATAAAAAAATAATTTAAATTCCAAACACCAGCCTCAATGTGCAAATCTTATATTAAAAAGTGAAAGCAAATATTATTTTAAACACGTTAACTTTAGTTAATCCTCTGTTTGTTGAAACCTGAGTGTGGGACTTGTTAAATCCAGTGATTGTTTCAGGGATAATCTCTTCGTCGCACKGAAACCTGAAGAAACGCTGCTGTTTGAAGGAAAAGGAAATAAAAAATAAAAGCAGGAAGCTCTCTGTGATGCAGAAAGCTGAATCATCCCTCGCTCTACAGCAGCGTCTCTGCAGGAGCGGGTTTTAAAGAACGGATCAGAACTTATGYCTTTAAAAAAAAAGGTTGTTCTAGCTGCTGGGCAGGACTGGGTCAGAGACGGGCCTCTGGATCTCCTGCGTGTCTGTGGAGGTCTCCAGGTGCTCGGGGAGGGAGGGGAAGCGCTGGCTCCCACTTATCAGTCCGGGAGGTTCTTCGGTGTTGGGGTGCAGCAGCTGAGGAGAGGGGGGGTCCACAGAGGACACCTCTGGAGACAGCTGGATCTCGCCGGACAGGGAGTCTTTGGATTTGAGCTTAAAGTCGGGATCTGGACTCTGAAAACGCAAAGAGGGCGAGTCAGACCGGGCAGAAAAGAACCTTAGACACTCTAGTCCAGRCTAATCTAGTCCCGGTACCTGCAGCAGCGAGGCAGAGCCGTCAGTCTGACCCGGCTGGACTGGGGGGACCGTGCGGATTGTGGGGGCTCCTGTGCTGTACAGTGAGGTGGGGTGAGGCAGGTGGGTGCTGGGGGACAGAGAGCTGTAGGCTGGAGGAACCGGGGCCATTTGCCTCTGGAGCAGCTGCAGGATCACATTGATGTCTGCCGTCATCCGGGTCTCCAGCCTGGACACGAATTAAGAACAACTTATAAAACCGTCCACTGGGGGTCGCTCTTCCCTAAAAACCCATGGAGGTCTACAGAACCACTAGAATGAGTCTCATGATCTACTGTAGCTGCTGACTCATGCCACAATTTTACACTAATTATTAAAAATTTCAAGCTGGTTTTGCCTCTGATTTAATAACGTTAAAAGTGCCAGATCTATGTTCATATTTAAGAGAAAGATAAAAGCTAGTGTTTTTAAGGTATATGGAAAAGTATAATGTGAATCTATATGAATTGTTGTTTGAGTTGATGTTTTTTATTTACTATTATTTTTAAATTATGTTTTGTTTGAATATATTCTGGGGATAAAAGGAGCAGACATTATAAGATTTATTCTTCTTCTGATACCTTTCATTTTATTTTGATTTTTTTGTAATGTATTTTCTTTGTTTTCTATTGTATATAGTTTTTTAGTTTTTTTAATGGAATGAATAAAAGTATTAATCAATAATATCTATATATTAGGGGTGAAACAATTCATGTATCTGTATCCAAATGTTCAATACAGTGCTTAAGGTTCAATAAATACACACTATGTATCAAATAATACAGATTTTTAAATTTTTTATTTTATCAGCTTGTCTTATCGTTGCACCCCTAATATTTAACTATTTTTAGGTTTCTGTTAAACAAACCTGCCGTGTTGAGAAGATGGTTAGCTAATATCAGTAGAGAAGTTTCATCTTATAATCAGGTGAAATGAACATTTTCTAAATGAAATAATAAATAAACTTTATTATTAGTTGAAGTCATAATTTTTCAACTAGTTAAAAATGCTAAGTTATTAACTGACTTCAGGTCTGGGTTAGATCAATAATTTCTTACCTTTAAATTATGTATTTTTTGTACATATCTGCTGTTTTACATGAATGAAATTAACATAATTATCAATTATATGAAGTTATTGCAAAATYTTACTAAAGATTTGTTCCACAGATCCAGCTGGGCTTGCTGTTTGCCCTGTATGGGCTCCATGTTGTCACAGATGTTAACAGTGAACAGGATAGGCAGGGCTCATTCTAGTGTTACTCAGCTCTATGACAAAACCTCTTCATTTCATTCTTACTATTTAAAGTGAAATAAGAATTTAAAAAGGTCCACATTTCCAGCCTCATCTTTGACCCTTTTCTTTTAATCTCTTGTTTTTTCCTTTCATCCAAATGATGAAAAGCTCCAGCCAGACGTTTCCTGATAAACCCACAGGSAGGAGCTCCGACAAACAGGAACACAAAGTAAACACTGACACATGGTTCTGACAACCAGWGAGCACAGTGCAGGGGGTATAGCTCAGTGGTAGAGCATTTGACTGCAGATCAAGAGGTCCCCGGTTCAAATCCGGGTGCCCCCTCTTATGGTTATTGCTTTAAAACATGATGAGTTTTAACTAACCTGTTGAGTTGAGACTGCAGCAGCTCTAGTCTGGACTCTAACTCTCTGGGACGGTCCTCAGCGAACACGTGAGGCTGAAAACTGGTCCTCGCCGTGGACGTTTGTCTCTGGTTGTCTGACAGCTGACTGGACCGGCGGTCTGACCAGTACCCGTACAGGCCGGACATGCTGAGAGGAGCCGCAGCTGTGCGACAAATAAAATCAGATTTAGTAAATTAACGTGACCTCGTTCGTTAAAACCAACTGAAACTGTTTTTTTTTTAAGTTACCCGAGTACGGAGGACTCCCGAGCTCTACAGACTGTCCCACTCCAGCTGAGGGTCCGCCGTGAGGCAGGAGGCTGATGGTCTGGTAGTCTCTGCTGTCGGCCGAGTGAACGTACAGCTCTTTCTTGTTGTGCTGGACGGCTTTCACTTCCTCATCGCTGGACTGGGAACAGCTGCTGCAGAGCTCCTCCCAGTGGGACCCCGCCCCCGTGCTCCGCCGGTGGTTCCCCACCGAACAGGACCGGTCCGGATAGGAAGAATCCTCGTGGTCCATGCCGTCCGGCCGGTTGCGGCGACGCAGGGAGCTCCTCCGGTGTCGGGTCAGACGGCAGCCGCACTCGGAGCTCCTGCCCGGGGTTGTCTGGTTGATTCTGTCTGCCTGATACATTTTAGTTTCAGTGATTCGAACACGCAAACAGGATGAACAAACAGAGTCAAAAGTATTCACGTTCATTACTTAAGTAGAAGTGTCGATACTAGGGTTTAAAAATTACAGATTTGTCTCTCCCCTACAACGGGTTGGACTAAATTCTTCCTGGATGCTGACGTTGACTGAAGCTCTGCCACCCCCCCCCCCACACACACACACACACATTTATAATGTTAAATTAAAATGTTAATGTTGAAAAATGTGAAATTAACTGACTAGACTACATGTTTCAGCCACGATCATCTTGATTCTAGGCTACARCTGCTACAGTCTGTCCTGCTGGAATGTGATGTGATTTGTGTCATTCAGGTGTGATGGAGTGAGTTCAATCCAATAAGGTGTCAGAATGGTTTATATTTACACTTCTCATCCAACCACAATCAAATTCACTCTATCCAAGGGCTCCCATGTATCTGGATAGATTTCTATTTATTATTTATTTTTTCTGAACAATGAAAAGAAATYGAAAATAAATACTTTTGGCATTTTTTTAAATGTAAGGAATAGAAGTAAAAAGTTGGCTGAAAAATAATTACTCCACTAAAGTATAAATAACCAAAATTTCTACTTAAGTAAAGTAACAACGTATTTATACTTAGTTAATTGACACTGTGAACAAATCTGTAAAATGTTGGGAGCAACGCCGCCCTCTAGTGGCACTCACATCTCTTAAATTGAAGGTGATCTCCAAGTTGCTCCAGAACATGTCGGCGAAGTCGGGGTACATGTCCAGGACCTCCAGCAGGTCGTCCCTCAGGATCTTGTGGAGGTCGCAGTAGGTCAAAGCTCTGACGTCTGCGCTGGACTTCCCCGGCCTCACGTACAGACCGTTGGGCTCGCCGAAGATGTCGTTCTTTCCTGCAAAACSCAGCAACCTTTAGCGTTAGAAGACGGCGGAAAGAGCGCGCCGGGATATCGACGGCTCGGCTCTGACCGGCTCAGAACAAACACGGCTGTGGGAGAAATGACCTCAGCAGCCGGGATCTGAGCGCCGTCCTATTGATGATCAATGCTTCTGTGGAATGGAAGTGGAGCTGTGCCCAAACACCGCTGGCAGCACGGCACACACACACACACACACACACACACACACACACACACACACACACACACACACACACACACACACACACACACACACGGGACTGACTGATTTATCATCAAAGCTGGTCCCTGTGGCGTTGTTGAGTGACAGGAGGAGCAGGAAGAGAAGAAACGCACTAAAAGTGATCAAAACCTCATCAACTGTATAAAGTAAAGGATTTATTTAATGACAAAGCTTTGTTTACGTTATATAATGCAATAATTGTTCCACACTTGATTTACTGTGTTGACGTAAAACAACTACAAATCCCATCTTTATTTTACAGAAAAGAGCCGTAAGAATTATCACCAGAAAACATTAGAGTCACCCATAAATATATTATTTTATCAGTTGAAATTATTGAAATTTTATGAGTTGGTTGATCATAATATTTTGCAGGTTATGTATAAAGCTGATAAAAATTTATTACCTCTAAATATCTAATTAAATTTTGTTAAGAGAGTAAGTAATTATAATCTTAAGGGTACAGAGATGTTTGTAAAGKCCAAAATTTGAACAAATTTGAAGGACCGATGAAGGAATATGACTGTGGAATAATCTGGAAAGTGATTATAAAAATGTTGGCTCAATAAATTTATTTAACAGAATGACAAAAGTTAGATGGTTGAAGAAATATGAATTTGTATAATGTGCATTCATAAGAACTGTTGTTCGAGAAGGAGTTGAAGTTTTTATGTTTTGTTATTTGAAGATTATCTTTGTTTGAATTTTAAAAAAAAAAAAGGGGCAGATATTAATAAGAATTTTTTTCTTCGTTCTGCTACCTTTCATTTTATTTTTGTGTTATTATTTGTTGTATGTATAGCATTTGTTTTGTTTTTAAAATGAAATTAATAAAAAAAAAAAAAACTCACCCAGTATGGCCACCACCACGTCATCTCTTAAAATCTCGATGGACCCTCTGGAGATGAAGTAGAGGGCGGTGAGGATGTCCCCGCTGTGGACCAGCGTGTCCCCCGGCGGTGCGTGGGTGGTCTTGAACCGCATGGCCAGCGCTCGCAGGCAGCCTTTGTTGGCGCCTCGAAAAGCTTTGCAGTTCTGCAACAAGCTGCGGTGCAGGTGGAGGCAGATGTCCGCCTGCAGACACTCAGGGAAACCTTTTAGAACCTGCAGGAGAACAAACAAACAAACAAAAACAGTTTATTTACTGACAACGCTGAGTCAGCATTCACTGTCGTTTTACAGTTTTCAGCTTCTCCCACTGCTCTGAAGTCTAATTCAGCAAACATATTATTCATTTTTGTCCTTTTACTACTTTTATCTACAGTTCAACTAATCTGAGCTACAATTTAGCAAGTTTTAGCTTTTAGCTACTGCTTAGCTTTATTTAGCTTTACAGCTTTAGCTACTGTCATCCTAATTTTAGCTTTGAGCCACAGTTTTGTCCATTTGAACATTTAGGTTTAGCTTTCATCTATGATTTAGTTCATTRTAGCTTTTAGCTACAATTTTTCTACTTTTAGTTACAGTTTTGATATTTCAGCTACTGCCTTGTTCATGTTAGCTTTCAGCTACGTTTAAGGTAATTTACTTTCTAGCTAGGTTTTTACCTTTTTTTAGAATTTAGTTAGTATTTAATAATAATTTTTTTTTAGCTATGGTTTTGCTGATCTGAGCTTTCAGCTACTGTTTTGCTAATTTTAGCAATAAGGCATGGTTTTGCTAATTTTCTTTCATTTATACTTTTGGTGATTTTAGTTTTGAGCCACAGTTTTGTCCATTCGAACGTTTAGGTTTGYATTGCAAATTTTAGCTTTCAACTGCAATTTAGCTAAATCTAGCTTTTAGCCTTGTTCATTTTAGCTTTCAACTACCTTTTTAGGTAATTTACGTTCTAGCAAGGTTTTTACTTATTTTAGCATTTAGCTACTTTTTTAATAGTTTTAGCTTTTGAGTCTGGTTTTGCTATTTTTTTCTTTCAGCGATACTTTTGCTGATTTTAGCTTTTAGCTACKGCTATGTCAATTTTAGCTTTTAGTGTTTACTTTATCTTTCAACTATACGGTACTTTTGCTGATTTTATGTTTCAGCTACTGTTTTGCTTATTTTATCTTTCAACTATAGTTTTGCTCATTTTAGCTTCCAGCTACAGTTTTGTCAAGTTTAGCTTTTAGGGTTTAATTTAGCTAATTTTTGCTTTCAGTTATGTTTTAGGTTATTTACTTTCTAGCAAGTTTTTTTTTTTTACTTATTTTAGCATTTAGCTACATTTCAGCTTTTAGGGTTTATGATAATTTAGCAAATTTTAGTTTTTTGCTATGACTGAACTAATTTTCATTAGTTAAGTTTCATTTAAATTTTTATCTGTTTGCTACTTTTCAATCTGTTTCAGCTTCTTCYTCCATCTCTCAGCGTTCAGCAGCAAATGTAAATTTCTCTCATTAAAGCGTAGTTTTAGCACAGTAAAGATGACAGGTACGATAATCAGAGCTCAAACTGGGAGCAGATTGATTCAGGCGTGACATCAGCTCAGCACGGCAGATCCAAGTGATTATCTGCTCTCGCATCAGACCGGCTGCCTGGCTGCGTCATCCCCGGGTGTCATCAGCWGCAGAGGTCCGAGGCGTTTGGGCGCCATTTTTAGAATATAGGTCACCYACCATAGAAAACATCACATAAAAATAAAAGAGCAGCTAAATCAAAAAYYAAAWAACATCTGCAGTGGAATATTCAACKACTGAACAAGAAGCGAGGACATGTTTTTGGCAAAATAAGGGTAAAAAAAAGACACAAAGTGTAAATAAAATCAATGTTTTACTGCTGCAGAAGAGACAACCTTTTACACAAGGACATAAAAACAGGATGAAACTACGTGCTGTGATCCATACTGAGTATTTCTCAGAGACTTACAGCGTTCATGTCGATGCCGTTGGTGTAGGACCAGGCGTGCTGGAAGTACTCCTCCAGTCTTTGTCTCAGACCTCCTGGGATCTGATGGAAGCGGATGAACTCTTTGACCCGCAGCATCTGAGTGTGGTACCGCGCCGTGCCGGAGTACAGCCGCTGAATGATGGCCGACACGTTCCCAAAGATGCTGGCGTACATCAAAGCTGCAGCAGACAGAAAATCAGAGGGAAACGAGCTTTTTTTGGTAAAATTCAATCGTTTTCACTGTGATAAACAGAGAGCGTCCTTCCACTCACAGCCGATGAGCATAACGCAGATGGAGAAAATCTTCTCGGGGTTGGTGTTGGGCGACACGTTGCCAAAGCCCACGCTGGTCAGGCTGCTGAAGGTGAAGTACAGAGCCGTGACGTACTTGTCCTTGATGGAGGGGCCCGAGCTTCTGTCGCTGCTGTTGTAATGCTTCCCGATCTGGTCGGCCAGGTTGTCCAGCCAGCCGATCTTCATGCCGCCCAGGCGCTCGGACCCGGTGCGCTCCATGTTCCCGATGGCGTACCAGATGCAGGCCAGCCAGTGGGCGATGAGGGCGAACGTGCACATGAGGAGGAAGAGGACGGCAGCCCCGTACTCGGAGTAACGGTCCAACTTCCTGGCGACCCGCACCAACCTCAGCAGCCTGGCCGTCTTCAGTAATCCAATCAGAGTGGTCTGAGTCTGAGGCTCCGTCTGCTCGCAGAGAGAAGGTGAAGTTAGCGTCTGAAAGGTCAGATCATTTTCTGCTCAGAGTGTCACTCATCTAAGACATTCATGACAAAACATAACAATACAAAGAAAAATTATGTCTTTTCTAATGCATCTTTTAGCTWTTAATTAMCCTTTTGCTATTTTAGCTACTATTCTGCTTAGCTACTTTTAGCCAGGTTTCTGCTACTTTTAGCTTTAAGTTGGGATTTTACTGTTGGACTTTTTGCTGCTTTTAGCTATTTACTTTTTAGCCTTTTATTACTTTTTATTTTAAGCTATTCARTTGTTACTTTAGCTTTTAGRTAACCATCTTCTGCTTTTACTAGTGGTTTTAGCTTTAAACTAGACTTTTGCTAACTGAACCTTAAGCTGTCTTTTTTGCTGCTTTTACATTTTAGCTAATTTATTGCTGCTTTTTAGCTAGCTAGTCTRTTGKTATTTTTAATTAGCCTTTTGGTCCTTTCATCTTTTAGCTAGTCTTTTACTGTTTTTACTAGTGTTTGTTTTTACTTTTAACAAGACTTTTGATATAGTTAGCCTTTTTTTCCTTTCATCTTTTAGCTAACATTAAGCTGCTTTTAGCTAGTGTTTATTTAGCTTCAAAATAGACATTTGATATATTTAGTTAGCCATTTGTCCTTTCATCTTTAGCTAACTTTTTGTTGCTTTTAACTAGTGTTTGTTTTTACTTTTAATTCAATTTTTGCTATCTTTTTGCTGCCTTTACATTTTGGCTAACCCATAGCTGGTTTTAGCTAGCATTTTGTTACTTTTAGTTCTGAGCTATTTTTTCTGCRACTTTAGCTTGTAGCTGATGTTTTGCTATTTTTGGTTATCATCCAGCATTATGGTCCTTTTAGCTTTTAGCTAACATTCTGTTTATTTTAGCCTAAATAACTTTTAGCTTCTCCAGTGAATTTCCATAAAATTGTCTGTGGGATTCTCAGAATTGAGTTTACTGCAGGTAAGATACTGCCTCTTCTTAAARACTTCAAACAACTTTAACTGTACTTTTAAATGGAACAATGCAGAAACAGACTTAGTGACTGATTTCAACAGGGAAATAAATAAATAAATAAATAAAAGATGTGAGCTTCTACTATTATTTTCTCACTTCCTGTGATCCGGAGCGGTAAATGAGCAGGTCGAACGGGATGGCAGCAACGATGTCAATGAGGAACCAGCCTTTGAAGTAGTGCTGAGCGATGTGGCCCGGGTGGCTGACCACCTCCTCYTTGTGGTTGACGTAGGTGGTCCTAAAGTTGATGAGGATGTCCACGATGAACATGACGTCCACCACCAGGTCCACCACGTTGAGCGGGTTGCAGGTGTAGCCGCAGGAGCTCTGCTCGTCCTCGGCCTCGTTGAGGAGGAAGGCGGCGGAGTACGGCGTGAAGATGGCCGTGTAGATGACCAGCAGCAGGATGACCCAGTCCCACACCGCTTTGAAGGGGCTGTAGTGAAGGATGGTCCACCTGTGGATCCGAGGAGCCTGAAGCTTGTATTCTGGCAGCACGTCTGCACCGAGAGACAACACCTGAGGCGAGGGGCGGGGTCACAAAACACYCATGATTAAAGTCCAGTTATTTTCAGTTCGGCCTCCACTTAAACCAGCTTTGATGCTGCAAACCATGAGTCACGACTCCCCCAGCAGCTTCACAAATAATCTGCCGAAACAAAAAGTCACGGCAGGTTAACGGCAGCGGTTTTATCTTCCTGAAAGTGACTCATTTTAATAAACTCAACAAATCCTGCCTCTGATCTGTGGAGGACCGTTAACAGACGGGCCGGCGCAGCGCTGATAGCTATCAGTGAGTCAGAGCCGACCACAGGGACCGACCGGCATCATCTCCCTGCCTCTGAGTTTTTAGAAAGGCAGCGTTCTCCACTCATCTTGTGCAGCTGAGCTTTTTAAAGTCCTGCCTGCGCACCGGGTGATGCCTCCCGCCTCTCATAAGTGCTAGAATGGACCGGTGATTTTAGTGGACTCGTGTTCGAAGCAAAATGTGTCACTCTTTTATGCTTTTAAAGCACCATTTTTGTAAAAAAAAAAAAAAAACAGTTGCATGTTCTTTTTTCTTACTAATCGCAGTGGTTCCTGAGATATTTTGGTACCAGACAAAACTCACACATGCACAGAAACAGTCTAACTGAAAACAGTGACCAGAAATAGTCTTACTAAATACGTTCCTGGCCATATTTGGCAGAATTTAAGCCATCAGCAGGAAAAGGTTTGGGTCTGGAGGGATCCTTTCATTTGCTGCAGCATTTTTAAAAAAATTTTATTTACTTTTTTTGGGAAGCTACAGATTTCCTGAAGCCTGATAGGAAACAGCCTCACAGTAATGACAAGGCAAGGAGAACGTTCATTCATCCAAGAAATTTTCTGTTATCGACGTGGTCCGCTGCTCTGTTTCGTAACGACGAGCGCCGTTTGTTTGCATGAAAGACACATTTATACAGAACTGTTGAATTACAAAGAAAATCTTTAATATTTAACAAGTTATAGATAATAAAAATGTCTAATATGCTCTATATTAAATATAAAAAGACTGCTTTTGTGATACAAAAACTGTACAGTTGTAATCTGAAATTTTCACTTCGGGTCATGAAACATCAAGTGAAGGTCCTCAGATAATCTTTGAAGAAAAGTGGAGTGAGAGTCTGAGGAGAGCAGCAGGGAGTGAGGGAAGCTGGTAAAAAGGCTGAAGTACTCACAGGGTGAAGTTTCTGCTTGATGCTCATGATGACGCACACGGCAGCGAGAAAAGTTGGAGAAAACTAGAGACAAAGCGAGCGAAGGCGACCTCTGTCCATCAGTCTGACTCTTCCCTTCCTCCCCTCTTCCTCCTCCCAGACCCAAGCCCTGCCCTCGCCAAGAGATCCACTTTCAAACATTAAAAAAGAAATGAAAAAGAAAACGTCCGACTGCTCCGAATGACCAACGGGTCGCGCCAAAAACCAAAGCAGGTCCTTTAAAACTGGACGAAAGACTTGGAGTTCCCTCTGCTTTCTGAGCAGAGCTGGAAAGAATGATGCAAACGTTCCCGTGTGTTTTCACACGGACTGCGTTACAATCAATGTCACATCGATACGCTGGCCGTTACACTTAATAACCCAGAAACAATGTTCTGTTTAGTCTCTATAACCGGGAGGATCAAGTCCACTGACGGGTTCCAGCTCCTCTTTAAAGATAAAACACAAACTCATTCAGTCCAACAGAACAGAGAAACTCTCCCTTCTTAAATCTGTTGGGACTTCACTTAAAGGCAGGGGGCGCCACTTAAACACACACACAAACACACAAACACACAAACACACACATCTCAGGTTTTCTGTTAAATTATTATAATTTTTTATAAAAGGTGTAGAGTTCAAATGCTAGTGTGAATGCTTCTCGCTAAAAACATGAAAGGTTAATGCAAGTTCATTTGAAACGCAAAAAAAGAATAAAAAAATGAAATTACCAGAAAAATAGCAAAAATATGAATAATAAAAAACTAAAAGGTAGCAGAAACAAGTTAAATTTAGCTTACAGATGCTGAAATTGGTGTAAAAAAAGATAAACTAGCAGAAAAAGTATTGTTATAAAATGGCTAAAATGTAGCTGAAAATGCTGAATTTTGCAAAAAAGAAGCAGAAAGAGCAAATGTTAGCAGAAGCTAGCAAAAAGAAGCTGAAATGCTCGCCAAAATGGGAATGTAGCTTAAAAACTAATTTCAACTACTAACAGCTGAATTGCTGTTAACTGCTTATTTCAGCAGTAAACAGCTGAAATAAGCAGAAAGCAACTGACAGAAGCATAAAAAGCTAAAATTAGCAAAGAGAAGCTGAAAGCACAAAAAAGTATAATCTAGCAGAAGAATAGCATAAAAGTAGAATTTTAGCAAGCAGTAGCAGAAAAAAGCTAAAGATAACAAAAGAAGCTAAATATAGCACAAGGAAGTTAAAAAGAGCTGAAGCAGAAAAATGTGTAAAGCGCAGTAAAGATTTTTAAACATTTTGAAGAGTTTTAAGGACTTTGAAGATTTTCAATGGGAAAAATGTGGCTGAAAAAAGAAATAGCTACAAACGTATAAATTGCTGAAATACCAAAAGTCAAAGCCAGAATGTCCTGAAGGAGCTGAATGCTATGATATATGCATGACTTGTTGAAATATCACAAAAACTGTGGAACAAGATCAGTTCAGAAAAATGTACGGAAGAAAAAAATGATTTCAATAGTTGTGAAGCTTTTACACAATAAAACCTCTGAAATCTGCTTCTTAAACAGGACAACCTAAAACTGTACTGCTGCAGGTAAATCAGCTGTCAGACCTACATGAAGGCTGGTTTTCAGGGTCCAGCTGTGTGTTTTTTTCTAATCAGGACTGAACCAGAGAGCTCCAACGCTGCCTGACCTCCATTTCCATTAACCACAGAGGTCAAGGTCACCGGCAGCATCAAGCCGCCGGACGCCGCTCGATAGCCTCACAGCAGCTGGCCTTTTTTTTCCCTCCCTCGCTTTCATAACCGCACCTCACCAGGACCCCTCTCTGCTCCCACAGACAACCTGTGATCCCCCCCTACACACACACACACACACACACACACAGCTGTGTTGTGTTGCTGATCAGCTGCGTGTGTGGTCTGAAACTGAAGACTATCCGTCAGACAGATCGCTGCAACAACTCTTCCAGGAAAAACTGAACTCGCAGACGAACTCCCAGCTTGTTCGGGAGCGGGAGATAAGAAGTGAGGCGTTCTCCCAGAGCGCCGTCACATTTTCCAGCTCTGAGTCACGGCCGGCTGTCGGCGTCGCAGCTTCTGCTGCCGACAGGAAGTGAGATCTCGCCGCCGCCGTCGCAGCAGCAGACACGCGTGCTGGAGCCAAAGTGCAAATTGGATGCAAATTTCAGACAAACAGATGCACTGTTTGAGACAAAACAAGAAAAAGGCAGATTTGAAATGGAAGATATGTAAAACTAAATATTTTTCTCTGCACGTGGATCTGGAACGGACAAAAAAAAAAGATTTAACATAAAATTTATTTTGTTTGACTAATTTTTTAAATCATTTTTATTTATTGTTGCACAGTTTTCTGGAATCAAGCAGACTTTTATGTTAACCAGAGGTTTACTATAGTAACTAAGTACATTTACTTTGTTACAGTACTTAAGTAGTTTTTTGGGGTTTTGTAATTTTACCAATTATTTTTTTAAATAGCTACTTTCACTTTTATTTTGTTACATTTTAAAGCTAAAAATGATACTTTTACTTCTTTACTTTAAAATTTAACACCTAGTTACTTGTTACAAAATTAAATATGTTTGAACTCATCATGAAAGATGTTTCTGCACTCTAAAAAATGAAGTGTTGAATTTAATCAACAAAGTCATGTTAACTGGCTCCACTAAGCCTAGTCGAGTAAACTGAGAACAGAATATAAATATATCACTCAATTTACTCAACCTGACTTAGTGAAATCAGTTTGGTTCAGTAAATTCAACAGTTTATTTCTGTGTAAAAGTACTTTTACTTTTATTTTCCCAGTTTTTGAGAACAGTTTTTGACTTTTACTTGAGTYGTTTTCTCATCAGTGAAAAGCCGTTTTCTGTTCATGTAATTTTACTTTTACTTAGTTATTTTTTTCAAGTACTTTATAGACCTCTGATGTAAACAAATCAGTGTGTTAATGACGAAACACAGAAAAATTAATCAGTTTATTTGATCGATGCTTGTTTTAGTTGACAWTTTTTTACATTATAAGTGCTTTATTTTGCAAAATATTGTGCATTTTGCAGATTGTGTGGCGTTTTTCAGATGTTTTCATCCCTCCAGCTAATTTTCAGGTTTAGACTTTATGAAAAATTGAATAAAAAAGCGAATTTAATGCTTTTAAAAACTCTAAATCTACAGTTTAAAGCTCCGCATCACTTTTCTTCCTAAAAAATCTGTTTATTTATTATCAGCTTTTCAAACTGAAAGCTGTTCGGAGCTAAGCTTTAGATTCTCCAGAGTTTGTTTCTCTGTTGTGAAGAAAAGTTTCTAAATACAACCGGGTGTGATGATGATGATGATGATGATGATGATGATGATGACAGCTGTTTGTTCTGCTGAGTCACACTTTAGGTGAGATTGTTTCACGCTTTCAGTCTCGTCACGCGCCGTTTATTTATACCAATGTTTATAATAAGATGAGATGAGGGTGGCCTTCAGAAGGAGCCKAAACAAAATCTAAACGTGGATAAATTCTGGATTTTTCAGCTTTTTATTTCCGGCCGATGAGCTGAAGAAGGCCTCACCTGTGTGACCTGAGTCACCTTCTCCGTGACGTTCTGGGTGCGATCTTTAACTTTGCTTGGTGCGATGATTTCGATCTCGMTGGGCGAAGGGGGTCTCAGCCGGTCCGAGCCGAACGTGAGGGTGACCTGGGGGATGCGGCTTATGGTTCTGTGCCTCACGAGGTCCGAGTCCGAGGTGGAGTTCAGAGCGCTGGGCTTCAGATCTGCATGGAGAGAGGAGAGAACAGCAGCTAAAATAAACAGGAGCTTTGTGGAAACAAAATGTTTTTATTAAACTGGGTCTCTGTCAGCCTCCAACAAACAAGGTGTAATTAAAATAAATGATGAGGACTGGAACTGGAACTTGGACCAAAACAACTTTCCCCCTGAGAGAAGAGGGGGACAGATGTTTAGTTTAAACAAAACAAAAAGCATCAAGCAGCTGCACACAAATTCAGCGCTGTCTCCCCAGACAGAAGTGATCGAGATGAAGCGTAACAATAAAATCTGACGTTAGCTTGAAAGTTTCACAGCTGATACAAAARCCCGCAAACTTGAAAACCTCTAAACGACGTCGCTCAGACACTCACTGCTGTGGTTCCGGGGGTCTCCGGGCCGGCTGTTCCACTCCGCCCTCATCCCATCGATGTCGTCCAGAGACGAGGCGCGCCTCAGGCTGCGCACGCTCTCCCTGGAGCAGCTCCGAGGGACGGAGCCCCTGGCGAAGGCCAGACCTGGGTCCAGTCGGTCCGTCAGCAGGGAGCGCCGCTTGGCAAAGGACTGGGCCACCGGGGAGGGAGGGTCCAGGTCCTGCTCGATCAGGGCCTCCGTCTCGGACTGCATGCAGCTCTCCTTGGAGGGGATGCGGAACTCTTTCAGGGGGACTTCCTCGCTGTTTGGCTGGAACACAAGTGTTGACAGGTCCTTTAATCTGCAGCTCTTGTAGAGTTTTAACAATYAACGACATCAAAAACACAACATGTGTTCAGTCTGTTGAACATACTGATGTTGAGGATCATTCTGTGCCTCAGAGAAACCATGATGAAACACAAAACAATCTCACTTCCTTAAAAATATGTAAATTCAAACAGTCCCAACAGATTTGTTTGCTTCTCTCAGTGAAGCCGTGTGGATGTTGTCAGGAGGTGTCGTCACACAGTGTTTGTGATTCCAAACCTTCAGCTTTAATGTTCGAAGCTGTTTTTAAACAAATAACCATCTGTAAACATGAACACATGCTAKAGGACCACCTGTCTGTCTTGTTATCTGCTGCTCACCTGCAGGAAGTCCACCACCACACCTTCACACTGGTCTTTGGACATTGAAGGACGTCTCAGCGAGTGGAGGACCGGCAGCCTCATCTTCAGCCTGCGGTTCTGACCTGCAGACCAGAAAAGTCCAGCTGACCCACTGACTCTTCAGCTCTGTGATCCATGTAGTTCTCCTGGTTTTAGTTTGATGTCTGCACTGTGAGCTTTCAGATGACCTTTTGATATTTATTACTTWAGCAAACATTTGACATTTTGTGGCTATTATTTTGCTGTTTTYTGTTTCTAGTTGTTGTTTTGATACTTTCAGTTTGCATTTTGTTTCTACATTTAGCTGGCTTGTTTAGCTAGGCTTTTGTAACTTTAGCTTGTAGTTAGACCTTTTCTACATTTAGCAACATTTTGTTTGTACTTTGTCATTTTTAGCAYRTAGCCTTTTGCTACTTCTAGCTTTAAGCTATCCTTTTGATACTTTTACCTAGCCTAGCATTTAGATAATTTTTGCAACATTTAGCTAGCTTTTCAATTCCTTCAGTATTTAGTAAACATTTGCTGCTTTTAGTGACATTTAGCTACTCTTTTGCTTCTTTTACCWTCTAGCTTRTGCTTAGCTAAATTTAGTTTTAGCTAGTTTCACATTTAGCGTTCGGCTAGTCTTTTGCTACCTTTAGCTTTAAGCTTCTATTCTGCTACCTTTAACTAAATATTTGTAACATTTATTTGTAGCTATTCTTTTGCTTTGTTTTGCTTTTAACTAGGCTGTTGATACTTTAATCCTGAGCTTGTTTAGCATTTAGCTAACCATCTGCAACACTTAAATAGCTTTTGACTACTTTCAGTTTTTAGCAAACATTTTGCTGCTTTTATGTAGTTTGTAACTTTTAGCTTTTAGTTTCTGCTTAGCTAATTTTAGTCTTTAGATAGCTTTTAATGTTTTATTTAGCTTGTAACCTTTTTCTACTTTTAGCTTTTAGCTGCTATTCTGATACCATTATTTAGAGTTCTATTATTTCAAAATTTTAGCTACCATATTGCTACTTTTCTAGTTTGTTACTTTCAACTTTAAATGATTTTTTTTTTTTGCTTGTTTTGGTTTTCTAGCTAGCATTTTGCCTTTTTTAGCTTGTGGCTGTGGTTCTTATTTGTTTTGTTTTATTTCAGCTTCTTCTGCAAAACTCAGCATTCAGCGTCCACACTGTATTTTGGCTGAAAATGTTAGCTTTGTAGTTTGAGATATTTTGTATCTTAATCAAAGGTGTTAAAACTCATCTTTGTTGTTAATCTAAGAAAACAAGTCTTAGATGAGCTGCAGTCAGTTTATCTTTTCTGTATATTTACAGCAGAAACAAAGGACAGAACTTCTAAAAACAAGCTGAGTTTGTTATTAGAGGAGGATTTACAGTAAAGCCAGCCCTGAGTGACTCTCTGTCTGAAGGCCGACTTCTTCAGGGACGGATCGATGAGCTCCTGGAAGTCCAGGATGAACATGATGACGAGGCCTTCTTCATTTTTAACCGGAACCACGTCCACCCGGCACGGGAGGCAGATCCCTGCGGTGAAGAAAAACATTCAATAAAAAAACATTCAATAAAGTGGCACACAGGGGGCACCTGGATTTGAACCAGAGACCTCTTGATCTGCAGTCAAATGCTCTACCACTGAGCTATACCCCCATCAATAATATCCATTCTGAGGATAACACTGTATGTCAGAAATTCTGACTCGTTATTCTGATATTTCTTGAAAAAAAAAAAAAAAAAAAAACACTGTAATTCAAACTCTAATCTCTTTGAAATCTTGCTGTATAAATAGAAATGACCAATAGTAAAATACGGTAATCATCGGTACCTACAATATGTCAACAGGGGGTATAGCTCAGTGGTAGAGCATTTGACTGCAGATCAAGAGGTCCCCAGTTCAAATCTGGGTGCCCCCTTCCTCATTTGTGACTGTTTTACTTTAAATAATCCACAATGTCCAACTGCTTCCTGTAAATCTGCCTGCTTCTAAAAMTAAAAGAAAAAAGTGATTTGTGCAAACACACTGGACTTCAATCCACAAGTTCCTGGAAAAGCCCTCCCAACGGTTCCATATTTCCGGTACGCAAGAAATTAATTCATTCAGATAGTTATGATAARAACAAATKCAGTTRCTTTTTGGTTTAACTGGTGGTTTGAGCAGTTCAGTCACAAGTTCYGGTTCAACTTGTGTTTTTGTCGGCTGCCACAAAACTGAAGAAAACTGYGAAACGCTTTAGAAARATTTTGGCTGGAAKAAGTCAWYGTAAAAAGCACGCTCATGRTCAGCACCCTACAAACTCCACTTTATGCAGACGAAGGAGGATRATATAAAKCAACATGGCTGCAMCTTTAAAGGGGCAATATCAGGTAAAATCAACTTTTGTGAGTTTTATATCATGTRAATGTTATKCTCTCATCAGAAACTTGCCCAGAGTCTTACTTTGACTCATTCATACATGTTTGAGAAAACCTGTAGTGTCCTGAGGCAGCCAGGCAGGGGAGCAAAAACAACCGGTTGGGACTAGAACTGCCTTTTGGGACCAGCTCCTCCTCTGGACTGTGTCTCCAAGCTGAGCTTCCTCATCACAGAGCACACCTCCACACCCACCACGTGTTGAAATGGGTGGGACAGAAGCAGAAGGAGGTTCTTAAAGTGTAACTTACCCCCCCTGTGAAAAGATAACTCCGCCCCAAGGCGAAATTTGAAAAATGCCTCAAAGTGGGTAGTGGGG